GGGGACGGGTCACAATGGCTGGGCCTGTCAAAAGGGGCACCAGCGGGCAGAGCTGCTGCAGTGCAGCCTGCGCCAGCGGTGAGTGCACACGCCGCGGGGGGGGGAGGCTGGGCTGGACGAGGGCCGGGGTTTCCCAGGGCTCACCCAGCAGCGAGGGTCCAGAGGCTCAGGGGAGCACCTTGGGCAGGGCATGGTGCCACCGCTGGGGATGGGTGCCTCACAGCTCCTCCGCCCCTCTCCTACCTGTCCCCAGGTCCTTCCCTGCGGCTCCTGCCCCCACGCCCCCCACTGCCAGCTCAGCTCCCTCCTGCCCAGACCCACTGACACCCCTTCCCTTCCCTCTCCTGCAGGCCATGGCTGTCATTGTCTTCCTCGCCCTAGCGGTACTGGGCTTCATCCAGAACCCACTGCAGCTGGGCGAAGAGCTGCATGCGGCCATGCATGGGCTCATCCAGAACCTCATACAGCAGCTGAGCTTGAAGGTGACTCAACTGCTGCGGGACATAGAGCAGACCCAGGAGCAGAGCGGGGTGGCCAGGAAAGTCCTGCTTCTCGCAGCCTCCCAGCAATGGTGCTTCTGGGCTTCTGCTCTTGGGGCAACAGCCCTGATCTTGGTGCTGTGGCTCTGCTGGAGGACCAGAAAAACGAGCCATAAGCAAGAAAGCAGGTGCCAGCACGGCAGCCCCGGAGGACAAGATGAAGAGGAGGAGGAACAGGAGGAAGACATACAAGAAGATGACGATGATGGTGACGACGACTCTGGTGACGAATGGGATCTGGGCAGATACGCAGCCGATTCCATCCAGTGGCCAGCGTCGTACATGGCTGACACGTGCAAGTTGGTGGAGGAGCTGGTAGACGATCTTCTTTGTGCCTGCCAAAGACTTTCCAGGAACACCTTCAAGCCACGGCTGCAGCCAGCCATCGGCCTGGGCTGCGTCTATCAAGGCTGGGCAGCCCGGGAGGACAATGTCCTCTACCGCCTGCTCGTGCCCCTGCAGCCTCCCCCGGGGCATGCCTTCTGCTTGGAACAGGGCACCACCAAGGACATGCTGACCAGCGACTCCTGCCTCCGTGTGCAGCTGCAGTGCATGTGCGTGAGGGAGTGGCTGGTGGGGGACATGCTATGCTTCCTCCACCACAACAACAATGAGCTGAGCAGTCAAGGCCCCAGCCTCCTCAACACCCTTTGCACCAACTCGTACTTGGACATCGAGAAAACCGCCTGCTGGTTCCAGATGTTGGTGAAAGATGCCTGGAAGCTTCTGCCTCCGTCACGCCGCTGCCGGCTGACCGTGCTGCCTTCTGCACGCTCCTGCAAGATCAGGCTAACGCATGGACAGGAAACCCTCTCCATCGAGATGATCTTTGGGGTGCCACTAGATGACTCAGGCTCCTTCCT